GGGATGCCGTAACCCAAATTGCAGAACATTTGAAGGTAAGTTAATAAAGATTCACTAATTTCCAACATGAAAAAACGAAAAAGAAATTTAATTTTTAAATCTATGAAAACTCCTAGATCCTTTGAGATTCATTGAACATTTCAATGGCATGTTTATATCTCGATATGCCCCTTTAGTTTGTGACTGGGATGCCGAGGATCACAAAGCGGGTGGGAATAACCATGCAAACTTACATGGTGCCGTCACATGTTACAGTCACCTATTCGATGTGCCGGTAAACCACACACGCTCCACCGAACTATAACAAACATTGAGTCACCCTTTGCTACCTTTGCTTAGAACCATTTAGTGTGCCGGTAAACCACACATGCTCCATTAACGTCTTCGCAAGGGCACAAAGTGTAATTTCATGGAATTGCATCAATTCACTTTGCCTAAGTAACTAAGATTGGGAATTTGAAAAACATTTAGTTACTTTTGTACTTCATCATACTTATAATGGAAGGTTTCATCCTATCCTACCCGTTCGGCTAACAACCCTCCACTAGTCAAGAGTGCGTTGGGTAAGAGTGGATACCCATTCAATCGCCATTTTATAGGCAATTTCCTTAAACACCCCTCATAGACCAGCTTCGTGAATGAGGCCTACTAACGGTAAGACTGACTTTTACTCATACATATATATAATGTTAGACTTTTAATGTTATATATAGTATAGGGTGTATTTTACACTTTTTAAATACTAGGTGGTCAAATTTAACAATTATACTTTTACTTCAATTAAATTGTAAACCTAAACTTTTATGGATTTATTAAACCTCTTTTAATTATACACCTTAATTAATAAAAACCACAAGGGTGTGATTTGAACTTTTCAAAACATTACTAGGGTTTTAGAATTTAACATTCCTAATTAAACCTTTTAATCAACTTTTAAATTCCAAAACTTGAGGGCAAGTTTTTGAAACATTTCAAAACATTGGGGTTTAGAATTTAAATATACATCAAAATTAAAATTTTTATCAAAATTTAAATTCCAAAACTTGAGGGCAAGTTTTTGAAACATTTTTTCAAAACATTAGGGTTTCAACTATTTAAATTTCAAAACAACAAAACTTTTGGGTTCAAATTTAAACTATAAAACCTAAAGGGAAAAATATGAAACTTTTCATAACAACAAGGATCAAATAACAAATAATCTTAATTAACATTTAATCACATAATTATCCATATTTGATTTATTTAATGATTTCTTGCAAAACAATTTACCAATTTAATCAAAATAATTAATTAATTATCACATAAGGAAACAAATATTTTATTAATTGATAAATATCTTTAATTAGATCAAGAATATAGTCAAATATATCATAAAATCGAATTTATATTGATCTAATATGATAAGGCAACTATCCTTAAGCAAAAACAGCAAAAAATCCCGGTTTTCCCTCCATCTGACCAGACGACTCGCCGAGTTAGGTATGGACTCGTCGAGTCAGCATGAACTCGGCGAGTTCAGCCCCCAGAAACCCAAAAATCGAATTTTTCAATCATACAAAGCATCAATACAATAGAAACCAATCTAGGCTCTAATACCACTGATGGGTTTTGGTCATAAGAACATCCTATGTGCTCATACTAACCCTAATGCTTGGATCTAGGTTTCTCTATTGTACATGCAAGTTATCCAAGACTATAAACCCTGATTCTAGCATTCAAGTAATCATATTAACATGAGAATAGGTTTAAGATCATACCTTGATTATTATGTAGCAATAACAATCTCAATTCCTCCTTGTATTGACTTTAGAAAGCTTAGAGTCACAAATATCACTCCTCTAATGGTTCACAAACACCAAGAGTAAGAGGATAAAGAGGAGAGAGGATGGAGGCTGCCCAAAAATGTGTGAAACCCTAGAAGGATTCTTAGCCACGTTTTTGGGTCATAAGGGATGTATATATAGTTAGGCTATTAGGGTTATCCAATAAGGAAACCCTAATTTGGATGCTTAAGCCCTAAGCAACCCATGGATTCCTTTCCTTAAGGCCTTGGACGATTTTCTCATGGGCTTTCCCATAGAATTCATCCACTCCTTAATATAAGGCAATCCATAACCCAAATTGCAATTATCTTATAATTACAATTCCAGTCCCTTTAGTTTAATTAATCTCTATTAGTCACAAAACTAATTACCAATTAATTCTTGACTAATATTAATTAAATAATATGATTTCTCCTTTAATATATTATTCTCATAATATATTAATAAATTATATTTATTCCTTTCTCTCCATAATTCATCCTAGCAAGTTGCTTTGATGAAGGCAACCCAAAAGGACCATGCACCATCGGGTCAAGTACATACCAAAATAGTTATGGACTTAGACACTAATCCAACAGTTTTAACGCGGGATTTTCACCCAAAACTTTATTTTAACATATAAGGCCCCTTAATTAATGATTAATCATGTTTTTGGGGATAAAACCTTATCCAAGAAGAGTGGGTGAGGTACAAAGGTTGAGTGTTGACTTTTCTTTGTATTATGACACAAGCAACCACCATACCCACTCCATGACTAACCCACACTCCTCCCCACCATACCTTGTCTCTTCCTTGTCCTTTTTACCTCACTCACAAGTCATTCCCACATTTTTAGAGCTGGACATTCATCCTCTCTCCTCATTTTCTTTCACTTGCTCTCATTTCACTAAAAACCCAACACAACTTTTCTCTCAAACTTTTTCTCTCTATTTCAACACTCCAAGGCTGATTTTTAAGATTTATTCTTCTCTTGGTAAGTATAATTCATCCTCCTTGTGATTATTTCACTTCATGCTACTCAAATCATTGATTTCTTACACAAACTCCATCAGTTTGATGTTAGATTCCCGAATATCTTCAAGGCATCTTCAAGTGTTCTTGAGTTGATCACTTCCATTCATCAACAATCATCTAATGAAATCACATAAGGTGGGTTCATACCCCTACATTTTCATGTTTTCTTAAGTTTTTTGGGGGGGGGGGGATACAAGTTAAAACACTAAGAACATAACTAAACTTTTCTAACAGCTTTCATCAGAAAAGTTGGACTCCATTCATGGACTATTTTGGGCAACTTAAACATTTTTGTTTTCAAAAATATTTAAAGTAGTTCCAGTTCTTATCTTTAAAATGACTACTTGAACATCTCTACATGATTTTTCTACGATTTATGGTGATTTTTACAAGACTGCCTATCATTTCAAACACCAATCCGGATCAGTCTGTGATTATGGACTTTTTCACACAAGGTGGAGGTACTGAAAAATCATGATAAAAATTATGAATAAACTAGAAACCTTTTAGAAACTCTCAGAATTTACAGATTTAGTTTTTGACTTCGTATGATTTTTCTATGACTTTTTGAAAACGATGCAGAAAGGTTAAAAACTTGTTAACAGCTTATAACCTTCATGACACTTTGTATTATGTTGAGAAAAGTGTATAACCATGAGTTCTAAATATTGAATGTGTTTCCTTGTTAGTTTATCATCATAAACTGAAACTTAGTCATTCATGATAAGATTATTCATTCATTTAGAACGCATATATTAAGTTATAATAAGCATAATTTATGGATTTATAACACTAATGTGTTTTCATAAAAGAGTACTTATACATTACAATCATTTCGGATAAACTATAATAGGTATAGTTTATGTATCATTTACTTCTCAAACTTATTTATCAAAGGTTTTATGTTTAGTTCACGTAAATCTGTTAATGAATAAATTTATGAGTCATTCACTTCGGGTTACTTCCAAAGTAACAAAGTCAAAAAGTCCTGTAAATTGTAACCAGAGTCTCTTGTAGGGAGAACGTGATAGTTGTGTATAGATCTATATTGGGTTTGACAAACCCACACCTAAGCTGCTTGCAACAGCTAGACCGGCATGTCTGTGGTGACAAGTGTCATTTAACGGCGACGCCTGAAGAACGTCGTATTACGAGGCCGTGTATGTCAAGAATGGTTATGATAGCTCACATGTGGTATTAACAAATCATAAGATTTACGGGTTCTAACTTCAAATTAGCGAGTTATGTCAATTTAGCTCACAAAAATTACTTTAAGTATGGAAAAATACTTGTACGCTTTCGTATCAAAAAGGGTTTTATGCCGATTTAAAACCACGGTTATATCATTAAGTATGGAAAATACTTGTTCATTCTTGGTTCTGGGATTTAGGACCTCATAACTTTTTAAAGGAAAATATTGGATTTTTCTTGGTGACACACAACACATTACAAAGAACGGTTTCCAAACTCTTTATCTCAAAAATTTATGAACTCACCAACCTTTGTGTTGACACTTTTTCAAACAACTTGTATTCTCAGGAAATCACTAAACAGGAAATCAAGTGCATTTTGAGGATGGGACATTAAGGCGTCAAACATTTCATATTTTGTCAACATATTGTAATTGATTTTGAAACATGTAATTTCTACAATGATGTAACTCTTTCAATTACATATATGTTGGTTGTGTTTGCTTAAATCGCTATTGCAATTGTTGTTATGATACTATACATGAAGTCCTCCACCCCCGGACGTTTCCGCCATCCTTGGTTTGGGGGTGTGACACTAAGTTCAAAAAACCTCACAGATGGTCCCTGTGGTTTCAAAACTTTTAACAAATGGTCCTTCTTTCTAACTCCGTCAGCTTTCTACCGTTAAGTGAGGGGCATTTTTGTCATTTCACTACCCAGGGACCATTTATGAGGTTTTCTATTGCTTTTTTTAAATAAATAAATAAATAAATAAATATGTAAGGGTCCCCACCCATCTCTCCCTCTCTCTCTCTCTCATTATGTGTTCATCCCAAGAAAACTCAAAAGCTTTAACTGTCAGGTCACCCTTAACCCCCTCCTCCCCTATTTCTATCTCTTCGTTCGTCCCTTCCTATTTCTCTCTTCTTCTCCATTCTTCTTCTTCCTCCAGAAAAAACCCCCTACTTCCCTTTTATCTGATCACGATTTTTAAAACCATGTCTCCAAAAGTTAAAGAACTTTTTTCAATCAGGAGACTGACAGTTATTTGTAACCTTCTATTGACTGTATAAGCATTATCACTTTGATCTAGCTCCATTCCAAAGACACATCCGGATTCAGTTTGAACAAAGGCTCGTCTTCTTCCTGTGAAATGTTTAATCCCTTCCATTTTAGTGTTTCCATGGTATTCATCTGCAGCTATTCCCCAATTCAACTTTACTCCTCCATCTGAACCCTGTAATTATATATATATATATATATATATATATATATATATATATATATATATATATATATATATATATATTTCATTTAGGCATTTTCACGAACAATTGGTAGGTGAAACAAACTAAAAAGAAAAACAGAGTCTTGTGAACCATGAATATGGAAGTTTACTAGTGCAGTGAAAACAGTTCCGGATTTACTATCGTAGATAACAAATGCGAAACTTCCTTCAAGATCTTTGATGACCTGATCGGTGGGGTAAGGCCTACGGTCTCGTAGCGTTCGATAAGCTTCAATCACGAACATGGCTTCGTTGGTGTTCTTTGACAGTCCGTATTGTTTGATTAGCAGAGATTGTTCAAACTCCCCATGAACAAACAATATATGTCATCAAAGGCAGTGAAAAACCTTTGATGAACGGAGTAAGGGCGATCCGGTTTAACATAAGCAAGAGCAGTAGCGTCGCCACTAATTCCACGCTGCCATGACTTGTGTTCTTCATCACATCGAGAGAGAGAAAGAGAGAGAGAGAGAGAGAGAGAGAGAGAGAGAGGTGGGGCCCTTTAGTTAAATAATTATATTTTTTTTCTTTTTTTTTAAATAGAGAAAACCTCATAAATGGTCCCTGTGTATTGAAATGACGAAAATGCCCCTCACTTAATGGTAGAAAGCTGACGGAGTTAGGCGGAAGGACCATTTGCTAAAAGTTTTGAAACCACAGGGACCATCTGTGAGGTTTTTTGAACTTAGGGATTAAACTTGATATTTTTGGAAACTACAGGGACCATTTTTTAAGTTTTGTCTAATAATAATTATTTGTAAGGTCAAGCCTTAGAATCTCATAATGTAAAACAGTCACGTTGACTCAATCAACGCCAGCGTGAATTTAAGTATGTAATGTTGTGTCAGCGTGATATGTACATCTTATGTAATCTCTTGTAAATGTAAAATATACGTAGTTAGTTTGCAGATCCGATATCTTAGTGATATTGGATATACTTTATTATTATCGTAGATTAGGTGATATCCCTGGTTTGTAACGATTCACATCGTATTTACTTTTCTATATCTACTAGGGTCTAAATCATTGGTTGATCATCAAACCCTAGAACTTTATGCTCGTTCTATTGATGGGAACATTTTCTTAGTGAAAACCTTTGTGTTAATTCTTTTGTGTTCTTTTGTTTATTTTTATTGTTAATTAATGTCGATCAAGGAACCTACAAGTGATATCAGAACCGGTTGCCTATATCAAATAATCATGTCTTCCTTTTATTCAAATACCACTAAAACCACTTCTGATAAGAAAATTCCATAGTTCGATGAAAAGAACTTTACCATGTGGAAGTCGAAGGCAATGATGGTCCTTGAAACTATAGACTACTCAAAGATAGATATCACCAAAAATGGTCCTCATGTTCCTATGTACCGGCTCATGAAAGATAATGTCAAAGAAGATGAGTTAGTCGAAAAACATGTTCGAATTCGACGATGAAGAGAAACATCTTGTTGCTCTTGATGTCAAATCCCATGTTGCTATAGAAAACTCTCTTTCATATGAAATCTGTCACTTCATTTAAAACTGTCGATCAACCAAGGAAATGATGGATACGTTGACTGTTGCTTATAAAGGTACTGATGAGGTAAATGTTGTTAACAAGAATAGTCTTAATCGTCAATGTGAGCATTTTTTTCAGCAAAAGAATGAGACACTTACATAGATCTTCAATCGTTCTAATTGCCCGGTGAATGATATGTGTCAAATTAAGATCAACAAGACTAGAAACTCTTTGGTTCTCAAGTTTCTTGATTCACTAAACGATAGCGGGGAGCATCACGTAGATGTTTTGAATAACAATGAGAAAATTGAAACCATGGATTTGGCTTGGTAATCTTTGTAATCCTGAAAAACGAAGATTTTAAGAAAGGAAATCATGCGAGACACTCACAAGGACAAATATGTGGCACTCTATTGGAAGAAGTCTCCTCAGAATAGCAACTGGGCTAAGCATTAGTGCATTGATGTAATAGTCAGGTCAACCATTGTAACCTATTTTGAATTAATAAAGATGAATTATTTGAGTATTATGTGAATTATGTGAATGCTTTATACTTATTTATAAATGTATAATAAATAAATGATAATATAAGCGTCAAAATTAAAGTGTTAGATAAACTCGAAATCGATGAAGAAAGTTGTAGTGGTCGTGACAAGGATTCCAGACATATAAAGAACACCGAAATCTGAGTTATAACGAAGAAGTTATGACCTGTCGAAGTTTCGCGACAAAACCGACACGACGCTATGTGACGTAAATAGTGAATTTGCGATGGATGACTTTTTAGCCTTAGTGATCTAAACAAAAGTCGTAGTATACGTTAAACCGAGAGTGTGCATAAAAAGAACGCCCAAATATGACTTCGTATGAGGGAGTTATGATTTTTCTAAGATTTGGCATAGCAGTGCACAACCCAGAATTCGAATTTTAGATCGAGCAGTTTTTAGCCAACACGACCTAAATGAGAATTGAAGATCTCATTAATAGGATCTTAATGATAAAAATACAGACGAAACTGGAGTCCATATGTAGAAGTTATGAGTTTTACACAGTCGTTAACAGTGTAATATTCTCCTACTGTTAAATTTAAAATCATTCGAGAATTAGCCGATGGAGTCTAAATGAAAGTTGTAGATTATGTCTCCACCTACACATGGATATAAATAACGTCGAAGATAGAGCTCATATACGAAAGTTACAATGTTTAGAAGTCGACAGGGTGCTGCTGCGAAGGGGGTGACATGGTTGAATCTGGACCATAGCTTTCTCCCCAAGTCTTGCCACTAGATGGTCACATGTGGCACCAAGTTGAGCCATGTTTCACCCTATAAATAGAACCCCTTTCACCCTCATTTCTTCACATCTCCACTTTGCTCTTTCTCTCTCTAACTTATCTCTAAACCTCCCATAATCCCCCCTAAAGCCCTAGGAAACTCCCCCGGAGCTAGAAGAAAGCTTCTGAGCGCCCGACAGCTCCGAGAAAAAGAACTTTTTGGCTCTGAAGCTCTACTCCAGTGGAGCCCGAATTTTATTAAAACCCGCTGTAACTGAGATACGCCTACCGTACTTTAAATATAGCTTATATTTAAATATAATATCGTAATTATGAACCTATAAATAAGATTTATCAGTGATTCAAAGTTGTTATATTGATTAATCTACTTACGGGAATGATGTCTAGGCTGTGATTTAGTGAGTTGTTTAAAGTGGGATTTTGATAGCTTCATTTTATTTACTTTTATTTTTATAGTTTTTTAGCACATTCCATTCGCATTTTAGTTAATTTCCATGCATATTTTCCTTTTTGTTATTTTTATGACCATTTCGGGTACTTTCTAGTTTCTTGAGCATTATTGCATATTTTAAGGAAACTAGAGGAGCGGGAGTATGCGGGATCTTTTTGGAAGGCGATTGGACTTGAAGAGCAGAGGGGATGTCATGCTTGATAGCTTTGGAGGTGATCCAGGGAGTAGGCTTGTCGATTGCTTAAAGGCGCAGAAGCGTTGAAATTTAAATTTGAAAGGGCGCAAGAGAATTCTTGAGTGTGCAAGATCGATGTTTAAGAGTTTGCGGAAGTTTTGAGTGACGTGGAAACACAAATTGGGCTTTAATTGAAGAAATATTGAAGAAAAATGGACTAGGAACTGATTGGATCTGAACTAGGCCAATGGATTAGCTTTGGGGGCCCAAGACTTGAAGAAGCCCAAAAATCCCGTCGAAGCCCGCGGCCCGCATAAGATTACCCGCGGCCCGCGTGGATTCCTGACAAGGGCAATTTCGGGATTTTGCTAAGAGCTCTATATTGAGAAGGTTGGTGTGCCTCTTTAGCCTCATCTTGGAGGTTCGAGTTTGACTTGTTCTCTCTGGAGTTTGGAGTACTTGTGAAGGCCAAGAACATCTTGATTTCACCTCTTGATTATTGTGAAATGTTTGGTACAATCTCAACTAACTTTGTTCCTTTGAGTTTAGCCATGCTTGGCTAAACAAATCTTGGTTGATTTCTTGTTGAATCCTTTGAACTTTTGTTGAATGTTGAAGAATCCATGAACTTGTTCTTAAATCTTTATGGAAATGTTTTGTATTTTATCATGTTATCACTACTAGTATGTTTTTATTCATGAGTTTAAATGTGTTTGTGGTGATTAGTTGGCTAATTTCTTGATTAAGTGAAGGATCCTCAAATTAGCTTGCAACAAGTGATTTTTGTGTTGTTTTTGCTTCACACAATCATAAAAACATTTCCTCCAACATGGTAGTGAAAGCAATTGACTCCTCTTGGATTTGGTGACTTTTTGGTTCTTAATGCTAGTTAACTTTCACTGATTACATGCTATTTGGAATTAGTGACTTTGATTAAGGAAATTGTTATGAGCTTCTTTAGCCATTTCAACAATTAAGAAAAGTCTAGGTAATCTCAAGCTCCTTGGATTACTATAACCAAATTAAGGATTTAAATCAAAGTATTGCACCATTGGATTCTAATGATATGTTCATCAAAAGTCAAAGTGAGGAAACTTTAAGTCAACCATCTCTCCCTTATTTATTTTACATCAAATCCTTAGTTTTGTTGAAATTGTCTCTTTAATTCATAGTTAATTCTAGTTTGTTTCAAGTATTTCAATACACCAAATCCCCCCATTTTATTTTTATTGTTATTTTACAAGTATTTTTACAAAGAGATTTTTCATAGAGTTATAAATTGAACCAATCTCCATGGATTCGATCCCTTTACCACTATACACTATTTTAGTGTGTAATATTTAGGGTTTGTTGGCCTCAACAACCACCAAATTTTTGGCGCCGTTGTCGGGGATTGGTTTATTTTTAATCAATTTGTTTCTCTATGCCCAGATCTTAGCGTACAGGTGACTTGATTTACAACCCAGAAATTGAAAAAGAAGCAAGGCATTTGGCTAAGGAAAAACGAGTTGAACGTGGTCAAACTTCTAACCCCCACGGGGACCCGGAGCTTGAAACCGCTTCATTAAGTGATATAGAACCCGATTCTAGTCCCGACCCTCGCCAAGAAATTTCCGAAACACCACCTATACAACAAAACCCACCCATTATTGAACCAATTGCAATGGCGGACGGAGGAGAATTTCCCGAAAGAACTTTGAGGCAAATGATGGAGACCGATGTTAACTCCAACCGGTATCAATTACCCAGTTTTGGAAGGAGGCTTGGAGTTGAAGTCAAGTTTAGTCCATCACCTACCAACTTTTCATGGATTGGAGAATAAGACCC